TGGGGAAGAAGATGGATTTTTTAGGGCACCTTTCGGCGACGATTTTAAAGTAGTCGCCGAAGGTCCTAATTTGGTGGTCGAAAGGTAATTCAAATATACCTTTTGGCAACAAAATCCCGGTTTCGTCGTCGAAAAGGCCCGCCAAAAACATGAAATAAATTACTTTCGGAGACGAAATAGAGATTTGGTCGCCGAAACCCTGACTGGTTTCGACGACCAAATGAAGATTTGGTGGCCGAAACCCTGACTTTTGGCGACGAAATAAAGATTTGGTCGCCGAAACCTTGACTTTCGGCGACGAAATGTACGTTTCGTCGCCGAATGTCAATCCAGAATCTTCGTCAAGGTTCTGGAACGTGCTTTCGGCGACGAAAGTATTTGTTCGTCGCTGAAAGTCCCACCGTCGGTGACGATTTTATAAAATCGTCGCCGAAGGTCCTGCCATCGGCGACGAAATTATGTGTAGTCGCCGAAAGCTGTTACTTTCAGCGACCACATAAGATTTCGTCGCCGAAAGCCAGACCTTCGGCGACGAAAGTTCGTTTGGTAGCCGAAAGATACTTTCGGAGACTAAATTTGATTTGGTCGCCGAATCTCAGATTTCTTGTAGTGATAAGAGTTAATGTAAATAGGACTTAAAAGAGAATGAGTTCAAACTATGGCGGTCATCACAGAGTTCGTTTAGTATCGTTTCTGTTTCTTTATTTTTAATGAAGAAAAATGTATAGCATGGTTCCAACCTCTAAGAATAAAACAATCTTTTTATTTATGTTTTGGAACAAATTGGAAATGAGAACAATAAATGAGAAACGATTTTTGGTTGTTTCCAAAATTTCTATACAACTATGAGAATGTTCCGAAAAATATGAGAAACAAGAAACAATAGATTTTTTAACAAAATTGGAAACGAGAAACAAGAATGTTACCAAACGAGCCATAAATTCTCTCTTATTAATAATTTGCTGAGTCTCACTCCTTCTTTTTATATATTATATAAAAGGGCAAGAACTCAGTTCTTCACATTTTGATTAAAGATATCATAGTTTAATTTGTTGAGATATGTTCATGTCGATGTATAATTCAAATCCTATTATCTATGAGAAGAAAGAATTAGAGTATATTGATTATTGCTTGAGCAATGCTTAAATCAATACTTCTTTGAATATTATTTTATTTAGTAAATAAAATATTTGAGTGTACATTTTTTATAATGATTGATGTATAATAACTAATAAAATGGAACTATTGGGATAGTTAGAAATCATTTTTTATATATATATAATTCGAACCACCAATCAATGGTTCAGATATTTTGATGGCTCGCATCCTCAAATACCAATACAAAAGTAACAGATGAATATAACCACAATTTGTTAAAGATTAGAGACAATTAAATTGACACAATTTTACTATAAAAAAATCATTATTTTTTTCCTTTTACCTCTTAAAATAAATTTCTTTAATAACTCATTTTCTTTGTTTTCTGGGGTGTGATAAACTCAATTCAGAAAAAGAATTAATATGGATCATTTATTATGTTGATAAGAGAAAAAAATTGATTTGCTTTAGCTTGTAAGGAGTGACATTTTTATTTATATTCAAAAATGGAAAAAGGAATAGTAGAGTTCAAAAGTAAAACTTCAAGTGTGTTCAAAATATTAAGCATGATACTTAATTCGTAGACCATTAAACTCAAAAGAAATTGGTATGTCTGTTTCTCTGAGTGTGATATTGATTTGATCCATTTCTTTTATAACGAAGAAAAAATTGTTTCCTAAAGAGACGACTTAATTAAATAACTATAGAATGTGTTAAACGATAAGCCGAATCAATATTATTCTTGCAATGCTTCTCTTCAACACTTCTCTTTTTTCCAAATTTGAATGAATGGGAAACTTTACCAATACTAATCCCAAGTTATTTTTTTAATCAAATGGTAAACCTAAGATTATTAGATAAACATATATGGACAACAAAATATATGTATTAAAAGATTTAAATCTATTCTAATCAAGCAGTTCTTTTCTTCTTCCCATGTAAAAAAGAACAATTTAGTAGAATTGGTAGATAGAAATTACAGCATACAATAATACAGACAACAAAAGGCAGGAACACCCCAAACACAAAAGAAAGAAACTAATTGAGAGAAGTATATATAATATATATATATATATTTATGAACCATAGAGCTTGCTAACAAATCCATAACATATATATATCCTCAGCCAAATCAATCTTAGAGTTGTGCAAGACGACGAATATCGATCGGGTATGCATCGGTCGGATGTTGAGCGCTGTAAGCTCTCCGTCCTACAACGGCATTCCCGGCTTCTGTCGGATGAAATGCGTCCCAAAATAGATACTCATCTCTGTTTGAACAAGGAGTTTGAAATGGTAGGCATGTAATTTGGCCATTGTTCCTTCCTACTCCACAACACCCAGTATTGGTAACCTTAAAACCTGAAGAAAACAACAATATACACAATTCACTGCTTTTTCGATCTTCTGTTTCGATACCATATTTAATCGTAGAAGGTAGAAAATTTTAATTACCAAACGCTGCTGGATTGTTAATAATATCTTGGAAAATGGAATAAGAATCAATGTAGATGAATCTTGCATCAGCTTGATTGGCATTGAATTGATCAACCATGGATCTAAGGCCAGCATTGAATATTTGGTTGGCTGAGTTGATCCTTTGAACACAAGTTCTTCCATCTGGGCTGTTCTGAGCCAACTCATTTGGGCTGCAACCTATTTGACCTATTCCAAATACCACAAATTTCCTCGCTCCATAGTTGTACAAAAGCTACGACGATCAAAACCAAACAATCACAAACTTCTTAGAGATTTGAAGGAGGAATTCGAAACTTACAAAAACACAATGAATGACCGAAACATCATAGACTAAAGTTATATAATTTTTCGAGTGGGGTTGATTACCGTAAGTTGGTCGGAATACTGTTGGAGAAGATCTTGAGCATACTCTTGAGGAGTAAATTGGTTGCCAGTTGAGTAAAATTGGGGCATGAAGTAGTTGTTGAGATAGTCATTGCTTCCCAGCCCTATTGAGTAAATGCATTTACTCAAATAGGTTGCAGCTGAGTCCTCATCCCCAAGAAGATCTACCACTTGGGACACCGTCTCTTGGTAATTGGCCACCTGCCCTCTGAAGCTTATCCGTCCTCCCTATAATGTAGGACGTCCATTTTAAATACGCTCTCAACTAAATCGAGTTATACGCACTTTTTAGATTAGTAGAAGTTCCTACTCGACTTTGAAAGTGATAAAACACGTCATATTAGAAAGTCGGTAGAAATTTCTATTAATATCGGGTGTGTAAGCTAGGTATTTTCATTTTTTTCTTTTTTGGAATATAATTATTGTTTTTGTAACTGTGAGGATGAGTTTGGGAAAATAGTGATGAAAATTTAATTACCAATTGGCGTCCGGTTTCCTCTCTAATTCCGGCGGCGGCGGATGCGTAATTGACGCCTCTGAGGATGTCTCGGCCTCTTGCGGTGGCGTAGGGAGGGATATAATCGTCAAATCCCAATAGCTCCGCTGCATTTTTCAATTACCAAAATAATTGATCAATTATTCTCTCAAATTCGTATCAATCTAATTTTGTTATTCGTTTTCTATTTTCTTTTTTGGCTAATGTTTTAAACCATTTAATATATAACTTTTTTTTATACATCATTGTATAAAAAAAGATTGATGAGTTAGAACTTTGTTCAACTGGTCACAAAATAAACTCTCTATAATATAAAGTTATGAAAATATTTTAAGAAGTTTATTAAGTGTAATATTATACTAAAAATTATAATTAAAAAAAGAGAAAAATAAAATAAACTTTTTAAAATAAAAACTAAAATGAATCAAAATTGAAATAAAAGGTTATAATATGTATAATTATTAAAAAAAATTATGCAAAATAATTTTGGAGGAGCGACAAGGGTGTTAAATATTTTCCAGTAATTATGAGGGCAACAAGCACCATGTGCATGGAATTTAAGGAAATCAATTATAATTTATAATGTACTATCACAAAAAAAGACCAACTTTTCATTAAATCCACACCTCAAATTTCTCTTATCCCTTCCCTTTTCTTTAAAAAAAAAAAAAAAAAATTCTAACACACCGACCGGTGGAAGCTCTTACTAACTTTAATTTCTAGTACATTTATCAGTTAAAATGTAACAAAAAATAAATATTAATAAAAAAGAATGTGAATCAACAAGATTATATGTTCCTACGATAAGTTTAATATATCAATAAAATAAATAAATGTCACATCAGAAAGTGGATAGAAACTCTTAGAGAGTTGAATAGTTAAAATTGGAAACTCTTTGAGAAAGAAAGAAGGGATAAGGGGTTAATTACCAATAACATCAACAGTAGTTTTGCCATTGGAGAACCTTCCAGTGGGTCCACCAAAATCAATCCCATAAGGCAAATAATCAGCTCTAGCCAAAGATTGAAGCTGGTTATTGTTCCCATTGTCCACCAAAGAGTCACCAAAAATGAAGTAGCAAGGCACTTGCTGCGCGACCGCCCCGCCGAGCAGCGCGCCCACGACCATCGCCACCGCCACCGCCACCGTCCCCGCCATAGAAACCGAAAATGTATGTAAATTTGAAGTTGAACCAGATCAAGGGAAAATGGTGGAGATGTGTGTGGTTTATATAACAATGGGAGTGAGAGTAGAGAAAGAAAAGAGAGAGATTTGTAGTTGGAGGAAGGTTAGAAGCATTTATTTCACGCGGATATGCTGAATGTGACGAAACCAAGGGCCCTCCCTCTCTTATCCCCTTTTTCTACTGCTTTCCGATTTGTGTTAATAGTGTGTTAAATGTCGACAAAGTCAACAAAAGAAACTTGCCAGACGCACAAATTGAAAGTTTAGAGATTGATAAGATGAAATGGACAACTAAAAGTTAGAGGGTGAAACTTATAAATTGACATTTTATACATATTCTCGATCCACTTCTGTCTGGAAATTAATTAGCACAAAACTAACATAAGACATGTTAATTGCAGAGAGAATGAAATTAGAGTTTGGGCATAAAGACTTATTCTAATATATATATCATGTAGTTTAATGTTAGTATAATATAGGTTAATGGATAAGCCACCTATTTTCTTTTCAAGGTTTAAGGTTAATCTCTAACCCTATAGATTTATTGAATTAAAAATATATATATATATTCGCCCTATTAATTAATGTACTTTCAAAACGTTCGGTTTGGTCCATTTAACTTTTAAAGAATGACCAATTTAGTCCCTATTTGCAAAAGCTYAACACAATTTTTTATAGACAATGGGAACTCTTTAGTATAAATTTATTACTACATTTCAAGAAATTTAGAGCTCGTTTGGTAACGTTTTCGTTTCATGTTTCTTGTTCCCGTTTCTCGCTTTTTGAGAAACATATATATTTTGTAACTCATTTTGTTTCTATTTTCCAAAATTTGAGAAACGTTTTCAATAAAGAGGCTAAATTTTGGAAACAAAAAAAAAGTGGTGAATACGACAAATGAGATAAAAAATAAAAATTGAAGAGACTAAATTKCATGTTTAAAAAGTATAAAGATTAAATTGAACAAAATTTGAAAGTATATGAACCAAGATATCATTTAAAGCAATAATTATTTATGGTATACTTAATTTTTTAAACATATTATTGACCATAATTATTAGTTTTTTTCTCTTTTACAAGGTAAGTTTATTTGTCTAGCTACATTACTATGTTTAAAAAAAGTTGTATATAATTCCTAATGAGGTATAGCTAAAATTACTCTTTTTTAAGTATTACACCGACTTGAATTTAGTTCAATTGGTTAAGACATATATTTCCGACTAAAAAATTGTGGTCAGGTATTCGAACTCCTACACCAACATGCTATTTTACTTAGAAAAAATAAAGTATTAAACATAGTAATTTAGGTTTTTTTTTTTTTTTTGTGAGAATATATAGAAGGGGTTTTCCTCTATGAAAAAGAAAAAGAAGGCTTTATCAACATACTAATAATATCTCCTATATTGAATTTGCTTTTTGCTTTGATTTGTTGGGACCATCCCCATGCGATTGTCAACATTCATAAATATAACATAACTCGCACCAGCGGGGAAGTATTAATTTCGGACAGCTGAAATTATTAAATGAAACTTTTAACTTACATCCCTTTAAATTTATTAAATTAAACTCTATTTTTACCACTATGCTACAACCATAAGATCGCATTTATTTATGGAAAACATGTTTTCTCCTCACATATAAAATGTCTTTCACAAGACAATCTCACTTAAATCAATCTTCCGTCATTTACCTCTCCAAAACCTATTTTAAACTTCTTCAACTTTAGTTTTTACTTTTAAATTGCATGTGAAATGTCAACCTGAGTTAAGCTCAATGATAATTGACATCTGTCTCTAGTTATGAGTTCAAATTTTCTCGCCTCCATTTGGTGTACCAAAAAATCGTATTGTAACAACTAATATATCATATAAATGATAAAAACGGGCTACAAACAAATTTTAAGATGAATTTGAAAATCGTCTTTGGAATCAATAGTGGCAGCTAGAATACCCCATCAAAAAGTTTAAATCAACCACGTATGCTTTTTTTACTGAAAAACAAATCCAAGAGAAATAATTAGAGTGAGCTTTAAATGATTTTTTAAAGCAATGGTTTTAACTATTACTTTTTTTTTTTAATACAACATGTGAGGATGGAGGATCGAAATTACAATCTCTTGATTTGAGATATATGCAAATTATATTACCATTCAGCTATGTTCGCTTTAACTCTTGAACCAAAGTAGTAATTACGTGTCATTTTTCTGTAACTAAGCACTTCTGTTACCTTTAACTAGTTAAAAAGTACTTTTTACCATTCTAAAAGTCACGTCGAGATGAGAAAGAGGGGGAGCTTATGATGATAAATGAAGGGTAGGTGGTCAAATTGAATGCAATGGGCTAAGTCCCAATGGGGTAACATGCAAGCACACCAACCTATTGACCATTTAATATTTCATTTAAACCATAGATCCACTATGCTCTCCTATATTTATTTCAACCCCAATAAAAATGTGGGGTTTTTGGAAAATATATAATTCAAAACTTGGGACAGGATTGAAAGTGACTTACCCATATCATATATTATTAAAATATATATATATATGTGGACTCTTTGGCTTCTGTGCATATAATTAAGTGTACTTAATTATGTCTTAATTACCTTTAAAATCAAATCTCTAACTCTCTAGTTGAAGTGTGGACATATTTCTTCAGGAGGAAATTGTTGAAAAATGTAATGCCATAAATTAATGAAAGGGAATGTGAAAACTGAGAAGATAGAATATAAAAACTAAAAAAGTCTTATCTTTCTAATTCGTTTTTACAAATTAATTTTTGGGATTAATATTATTTAAATTAATTATAAAATAAGTTCTCCCACTGCCCTCTAACACTACGTGACGTTAAGGAATTTTAGAAATAGAAAAAGACTTCTTCTCTTTACAACTTTCCTAACAAATTTCTAATATGTAAAATTTTCGAAAATACTGAGTTCTTTAGTTGCATTTTTTATTTTTTCATCTCAAGTGTGGTCAAGATCATACAGGTTCTTAGTAATAAGGAGCCAATTATTTTCCTTTTCATAATCTAACTTTTCTTTTCTAATTAAAGCATTCAACTTAAAAAAAAATATCCAATCCACTTATTATGCTCAAATTAACTTTATATTATAATGTTTTTTTTACACAATAAATATGAGAGTGGAGGTCAATTGAGCATAACTCAACTGGTTAAGATATATATATTCGATCGTAATATCATACATTCAACCCCACCCCTACATGTGGTCCCATCCAATTCATAGGTGCATTTAAATTTATATTTACCAAGTCAATGTCTCAACTCGTAACTACATATTTTCTCCTCAAACTATGCTAGTTTCAATTTCTAGGTTCTTCCTCCAATTTAAATGAAAAACTAGGTTCTCCCACCAGTTAAAAATTTCAGCTTTTTTTGCAGTTTTCATTTCAGTAGCATGGCTCTCAAATAACTCTAAAAATATATAATTAATTTCAATTCATGAAATTGAAAAATAACCTCTATATATATTAACACGAACATGCATCACTTGTACATAACATAATGATTCCCGTAAAGAAAAATCCGAAGACCCATATATATAATATAACAGCCTATTAATTTGTCAAATACCAGAGACAGAGATGCATGATATCACTTATCAGTCAGAACCAGAAGCTGTAACAAAATTTAACCCAAGAAGAAAAATTATAGAAACAATCCCAACGTTGTGTCTAAAACTAAGAAAGATTCAATTCTTACAGTTCATTGTGGGCGCGGCGGCCAGTGCCCGTGGAGGAATAGAAATTCAAAGCCAAATCCTTCAAAATCTGAACAATTCCTTTCAAATCGCCACTTCCCAGCTCCAAACAGTCCTTCAGCAACCCGCCGTCCACCACCTCCGCTTGAATCGTCTCCACCACCTCCCTCCAAGCCCCCTGCCCATACCAAAAAAACACGACACGGCTTCTGCCTTTATACGCCTAACTTTTTCATTCAGGCATTTCAACAAACACTTTGCAGGTCACCCACTTACCGATTTTCTAAACACCTTCAGAAGCCTCTGCAACAGCGAATTGGAGACCCTGAGGACGGATTGGTAATTCCGCGACACCCACCCCGCCCTCGCCGTGTCCGATTCCAACCGGGCCAACTCTGCGAAGGCCCGGAGCAACTCGTTCATGTCGTAAACGGCGTCGTACAGCTCCGTGTAGGCGAGGTCTCGCCAAGCGTAGTTCTTGGCGTAGTCCCAGGCGAGGGACCACATCGGGCCCCAGAGGCCTAGCCCGAGCCCGCGCTCGAGCTTCTGGGCGATGAGCCTGGCCCGTTGCGAACCGGAGAAGTCGCCGCGGGAGGCGCGTAAATTGGCCACGCGCGACATGAGGGAGTGTGCGAGTGAAAATAGGGTCTTGAATTGGGAGAAAGAGAAGGAAAGGGACGGCGGTGGGGCCGTGAGAAGGAGGAGGAGGAACAGAGTCACCGGAAGAGACGCCGCCGTTCTGGCCATTGTTTCTTTTTCACCGCCGTCTGATCGGTGGACAAGACGACGGACGTAAGCCTTTTGGAAAGGCTGTCATTGACCCGGTATTTACTAGTGGGCCGCCCGTTGTGATTTGGGCCTCAAAGTAATTTAGTATTGGGCCTTTTAAATTACACGATTATATGGGCCTTAGTATGTTTTTTTTAGAAGTTTCAATTTAATCTCTAGTTTTGAGTTTTGTTTCATTTGTCCTGATTTATTTTAAATAGGTTTTTAAGGTTTTAAAAGATTTAATTTCATCAGTTAAATCTCGTAAATTGTCTTTTATTCCCTCTAAAAGTTTATTTATTTTCTTCTATTTTTTTACTTCACCCTAAATAATAATACAATTAACTAACATAATTAGCTAAATAAAAAATAGTAAATTATTGTCCGGTTAAAAAGAGCGAGAGATATAATAATGATTTGATTGGTGAGGTCTAACTCTAGAAACCAAATTGAAACATGAAGCATCAAGTTTGTAATTTAATATTTACAAACAAAATCAAAAGAATTAAAATAGTAAAAACGACCAACCTACTTCAAGCAATGAAACATTGGATCCTTCTTCGTTAATCATTGGTTATGATTCTTATATTCTCTCCTTTCTTTTTTAATTTTAAATAAGATATTCTTTTTGGAGAAATATTAAATATGTAGGAGAAATAATAGGCTTAACTATATTTGATATTTTAATAAAGAAAGAGACTGAAATTAAAATTAAATTGCAAAATAGATAGAGGAATAATTTTTTTTTTGTTGACAATAATAGAAGAATAAATGTTGAAATAACAATATGCAAAAAAAGAGAGGTTGTGTTTGTATGTGCATGTATGTGTCTGACAATGCGAGAGATAGAAAATCAAAATAATTTATAAAAGTTGAAAGAAATATATAAGATTAGAAACAAATTTGTAAACTAAGAGACCTAGGTTTATGTTTGCCAATCTTGTTAGGTTTATATAATCTTCATTAGGATGAGAGGTTATAATGTTAAGGTAGATCTTCATGGAATGATCATTTTATCGAGACTAAGCTAAATTAATTATTTTAGTAGAATTTACATGACTACAAACTATTTTAGGAATTACTTTGGTGAAAATAAAAATTTTAAATGTTTTTTTTTACAACATGTGGGGTGGGAAAAATTTTAAATGTTGGTTCATCAGTAAAGATGTCTACCCTTATATTACATCTACGTATAGTCCACATGTTACACTTCGTTCCAAAAAGAAAGGGATCAAATTTGGCCTCAAAGAAGTTTAAATGTTNTTTTTTGTGGCTACCAATATATGTTCTCTTATCCAATGTACCCAAAAGAGACCCAGAAAAAAATGTAACCTTTTTTTATTTTATGGTCACATTCTCATTGTTTTTATTGATAAATTGTGAAATGCCGTAATGATGTGTTATTTATTCTTAATTGGGTATAAAAATCGATTCATTAATATGGTAATGCTTGAGAAGTGAACGATGAAAGTCTTCCTATAATTTTGGTTGTCTTCATTTAAATTTTGTGAAGCTTATCTCTTTATTTGGTAAATGATTGTCAATAAATTAAGTTTTCTTCATTTTAAATCTATTTTATTTTATTATTCTGTGTTTTAAATTGAATATATGCATAGTAAATATCAAACAATATTTACCTTAAATGTAATACTCCGATTAATCATTTAAAATAAAATTACAATTTTTTTATGTTTCTATATGGACTTCGAGAGGGACGCCTCGCGAGCCGGGCTTCTAKAGATGAGGCCTTTTGGCGAAGCCAAGTCAATTTCGGGCTGATAAATATTACAAAACTAAACTAAATGTAAAATAAATAAAAGCTTCAACTAATGGAATGCTACCAAAATTATTTATCTTTAACTACGATAACTGACATATATCTTCAACCAAGAAGTTGTGAATTCGAATCTCCACGCCTCTCATGTTGTAAGAAAAAAAAAACAAAAAAGCAAAGAAAACTAGTAGAATGCTAAATTTTAACTTATTTTTAAAGCAAATGAAAAGTGAAAATTAAATTTGCAAATGTTTTCTTAATCCATTTTTACAAAGCTAAAGGTAAATTGGTATTAAGAATATTCATTTTTATGATCAATAAAACATTAAATTTAATCCATTTGTAAAAATTGCATAATCATCGTAAGATGCACCAAATATTATGAACCAATAAGTAACTTGAGTAGAGTTCAATCGGTTAAAGGCCAACATGAGTATAATTTATCTGCAATTGGCAAATATCTCTAACCAAAAAGTTATGACTTCGAATTCCCCCACTCCACGTAATAAAAAAAATAGTTAAGATATATATGTACTTGAAAACACATATTAAATACGGATCCTCTCCCAAAAAAGAAAAAAAGGAGAAATATATATATATATATATATATATATATATATATTATTTGATCCCTATACTTTTGGGATTACCATCGAGTTTCGAATCATATCGCTACCGTCTTTTTTGCGGCTTTTATTGTTGCTGGAATTGGTTCATTTTGGTTTGATCATACTTTCAAAATATTCATTTTGGTTTTTATACTTTCAATCTTTGTTTATTTTAATTCTTATACTTCCAAAATTTCGTCATTTTGATCTTTATATTTGTAAGAAGTGATCAATTTGATATCTATTTGTAAAATTCTAACACAATTTTGATGAAAATAGAAACTCTTTAATACAAATTTGTTTAAAAAAAAATTGTGAGTAAAATGTGGTGCTAAAATTAGAGTGAAAACAAATAAAATAAAAGTAAAAAATAAGTATTCCATTGAAAAAGAAAAATAAAGAAATTGGAAATGGGATATTCCATTGAAGGAAGCAGAAGCAGAGCAGGCCCTACAATGTTGTAAAAGAAGATTCGATCCCATTTGAAAAGTATGGAATGCAAAAAGGAAAATAAAGGCACATTATGGAGATAAGAAAGTGCCAAAATTTCATGAATGTATAAATTGATGTCACCTGCATGGCCGAAAGCTTCGCCATACAGAGTTTCTTCGCTACTCTCGAGTCCCTCCAATTTTCATATCCCTTTCGCGATTTCATATTTGGCAAAAACAAAGGGAACAACCCACAAATTTGGAATTTATAATATTTGTTGCTGTCATCATTGATCGTCGTCATCATCCCAAAATTCTGCAGATTTTTCTTCAATTCCTCTCCTCACCAGTCACCCAAAAAACAAAATTAAGAAATATCGCCTCCACAACTTGCTTTGCCTAATTTCCCCGCTCTCAATTTCCCCCTTTGGCGCACTGTCTTCTCTCCCGCGTTTCGTTATTAATGTGAGCGACACCGACGATCTACATTCTGCGTTCTGCATTCATTGCTCGGTGAGAACTTGCCCTTTCATGCAATTCTTTTTCCGTTTCCAGTTCCTCTGCATTCTCGCTTCGGCTACTGTAAATTAGTTTATGCATTGGGCACACTGCTTCCTGTACCATCTTTGATTCAAGTAGTAAGGGTCTTTGTTAGCCACTCTGTTTTTTCGTTTCTTCTTTTCTTGGGATTTGGGAGTTGGGTGTTTACTTTTATTGTATTTTTTCTTTCTGTGTAACTTTGAATTACTAATTAGGATTAAAACCCCTCTTGCCATTCTAATTCTTGAAGTCGTCTGAAGGTTCTTGCTCAAGAAATTGCTACATTTCAATTGTTCTGTTTTTCTTAACATATGGAATTGTACTCTGTATCAATAAAATCTCCAATGACTTGGAATTAGAAGTGGATATGTATGTGGTTCCGATTGTTACAATGTTCTTTTCCTCTATCAAATTTCAACTGTCTAGTTGTTTACACATGTATTGGACATTCTTGCACGGGCACGTATGAATACTTTGTTGTCAGAAAGAAGAAGAGAACCATGAGAAAGATCGCCATGATGGTTGTTTCTTTCGATTAGTACTGTTTGATCATGTTGAAGGATTAGATCTAAACTAGTTGCTCATTTATATTGAATTAAAAAACCCAGGAACTTTTTTGCTCTTTCAACATGTTTGCAGGACTTGTGTATCGATCAATGCTGTCAAACAACCATAGCTGCAGTCCTCCTACTCCTAGAACTAGATTGGAAAGGCTTCTTAGGGAAAGAGAGCTCAGGAGATCAAACCGGTCTTCTTCTCTCAATGAGGAGGCACGAGATGGTTATAGTCTGGGAGAAGTCAACAGCAGCGATCTCTTCACAAACTTTGGTGGAAGTTATGGGTCATTTTACGAGGAAGACATCTTGGAAGGCGTGTCAGTGGCAAAAGACTTCAGTGATGCATTACAAAGGCCAGAAGGGAGGTATTCTAAGCAACGCCTTCTAGTTGTAGCTAATAGGTTGCCTGTGTCTGCTGTTAGGAGAGGGAAGGAAACATGGCATCTTGAAATTAGCGTTGGTGGTCTAGTCAGTGCACTTTTAGGTATGATATCTCTGGTCTATTTCATCAGGGTGAACGTCATCCTTTCTACTTCTATATTTGCAAGTGTGGCTTAATTTTCATGTTAACATTTAGAAGTAATTTTGACAGAGATCTACTTTTTTTCATTCAGTTGACTAATTTTACTTTATTATCTCGTGAACTTCATATCTTAATTGAAGGTAAAGTCTTTTTCTCTTTTTCAAGGACTAAAGGAATTTGAGGCAAGATGGATTGGTTGGGCTGGTGTGAATGTCCCGGATGAAGCCGGACAGAGAGCCCTAGAGAAAGCATTAGCTGAAAAGGTAACATCATATAATGACACTTGATTCTCTTAAACTTGTAGGTCAATAGTGCTTCATTGATATAAAGTGTGACTCAAGTCTATCTGCTCTTTTGCTCTTTCGTTAACATCTGTCTAACCCACCCCCAATAAATGACCACATGTTTAAATAGCTTCCATGCTTACTAAGTTTCTGATTTCAGAAATGCATACCAGTCTTTCTTGACGAGGAGATAGTTCATCAGTATTACAATGGCTACTGTAACAACATCTTGTGGCCACTATTTCATTATCTTGGTCTTCCACAAGAAGATCGCCTTGCAACAACGCGTAGTTTTCAGTCACAGTTTGATGCATATAAGAAGGCAAACCAAATGTTTGCTGATGTTGTAAACAAATATTACGAAGAGGGAGATGTTGTTTGGTGTCATGATTATCACTTGATGTTTCTCCCAAAGTGTCTTAAAGAGCATAATAATAAGATGAAAGTTGGTTGGTTCCTTCACACCCCATTTCCATCCTCAGAAATACATAGAACTCTGCCATCTCGTACAGAGCTTTTGAGATCTGTTCTGGCAGCCGATTTAGTTGGGTAAGCCATTTATTTGTGTTGTACTGTCTTTTTAAATGCATCTCATCGTCTTAATTTTTGCTTATCATACTTCCTACAGTAATATTGGATCTTCTTTTCGTATGTTTACAAAGAAGAACTATAGGAAACTTCAATTTTCACTCCAAATGTTGTGAAATTGGAAAAAAGAGATGGAGCTTGTTTCTCTAATAATTATGTTTAGTTCAAGCTCTGGGCCTAAATGACACATCTTTTCTCCTCCAGTTTCCACACATATGATTATGCTAGGCATTTTGTCAGTGCCTGCACCCGTATTCTTGGATTGGAGGGTACACCTGAAGGAGTAGAGGATCAAGGAAAACTGACTCGCATAGCTGCTGTAAGACCAATTGATTATTATTTTTTTTCTTTCAATGTAAATGTTGTACAGAAAATTTTATTCTTGTAACGGAAATGTCTATTGTTTCAACGTTTTTCTGCTTTTTAGTACTCACTTGAGTCATTTACCATGTAATATCTTGTCTTTTCTTCTTTTTGGGTCTTCAAACTACAGTTTCCTATTGGAATAGATTCTGACCGATTCATTCGAGCTCTTAAACTCCCTCAAGTCCAGGATCATGTTAAAGAACTTCAAGAAAGATTTGCTGGACGAAAGGTAAGAATTCCTTTTCCTTCCCCTCCCAAAGATCCCTTTTTGTCTATCACTTTCATTTTCTTATTGTCGTTTCTTTTAATACAAAGTACATCTCAAATTCTGTGTAACTTCTTTTGTTAAAGGTTTTCAGGTCTTTTTGCTGGGTGTTCGTCATTGTGCTTGTGCATAAGACTACATGACCAATTAAATCTTGTTCTTTGCTTCATGTTCTAAGCTTAAATTTCTTTTTCCTCCTTGGTAAGGTTACTTAAGTAACTGTGTTCTCCCAGTTCTTCTGATGCCAACTGACATCACCAGGTAATGCTGGGTGTTGATCGTCTTGATATGATTAAGGGAATACCTCAAAAGATTTTGGCATTCGAAAAGTTTCTTGAAGAAAATCCAAAGTGGCGTGATAGAGTAGTTTTGCTGCAGATTGCGGTGCCAACAAGAACAGATGTTCGTGATTGTAAGATCATTTCTTCTTTAACATGTTATTTACATGCATTATGTACTTTAATTCATGAGTTGTCTAGTTATTCTGAAACTAGTCAGTACTAAATGTTGATATTTGAATTGATGTTTCAAGGATAAAATGTCTCTTTTTTTAGTTTCTCGAATATATTATTTTATGTGTTACCTTGAAAAAGGGAAATGGAACATTCAAAGATCTTGTCCTATTTGTTGCATTAACAGATCAAAAGCTAACGAGTCAGGTTCATGAGATTGTTGGGCGCATAAATGGGAGATTTGGCACTCTTACTGCAGTTCCAATACATCATCTGGTTGGTGTTCCCAATTGATTTCTATTTCCATGCGTACATCTTTCTAATGGCTAAGAATTATTTGCATGGCTGCAAGTAGAAATGCTCAAGGTAGTTGCATCATGTAAGTGCTCATAATTTCTGGAATTAGTGACAGTCTCACCGCTTATTACTCTAATATTTAAGGCAGGGAAGATCTCTCTTTTTTATTTTTTTGTCAGTTGCGTGGTGGAGAACCTTAACTAATGTCAGTTCATGAAACTGAAAAAGGGTTCCCTGTCATTCTTTCTAGTGCCATATTCAATTAGGTAGCCTAGTAAAGAAAGGCTAGATTTCATTAAAGGAGCAAAGAAAATAAGAGGGAAGGGCAAATCATTGTTTCTCGAGTTAAAACTAAACATTGTTTCGGGCAGTATATAGTTAGGAAGAAACTAATACTGTCATGGTAGTAGGGAGATAAAAGTGAGGGGTAAGAGTTCTATTTATTCTCTTACATGATCTTCTAATGTCGTTTAACCTACTTTGTTCTCAGTCTGCATTCATTATGCTTATAAGTCTACTCTCTCATCTTGCCTTCAATCTTTAAAGTGGCTTCTCTGCTCTTTGTAACTTCTTTTTGAAGGTTGGGAGCACCACCGTAATCTTTAGATCTTTTTGCATCAAATTATGACAGGCTACGTGATCACATATCACTTGTATCCTTGAAACTTGATGACTTGAACTTAGGCTTCTTGCAAAGCTATTTGAGTACTGGTTTGTTGATGAATCAAACGAAGGCTTATGAAGTTTTTCTTCCTTATTTACAGGATCGTTCGCTTGACTTCCATGCATTATGTGCTTTATACGCTGTTACTGGTACTTATCTTTATGGTGTAATTTTCATGTTTCTCTCTCTATTATATTCCTATTTACCCACTCCTATTACATCAATAGGAACTACCAGGCACCAACACAAAAATTCTAATTGCATAGAAGGAAATATTGCAAGTTGGATAGTCCTAGGTGATTGAGGAACCTGAAAACCTCTCCTTGAACCAGGCTCAATATGGAACTCTCTTTCTCACCCCCTCCTCTTTCTCTGTCCCCAAGCCATAGTTACTAACCAATCCCATATGGTGAACCTCACGAGTAACTACTTCATGTGTCAACCTAGATGCCTAACAAACATGTAACTGACCATGGATTTCCTGGTTGTATCTCGTGATTCTTGTGTCATGAATCAAGTGATGCCTCAGAAAATGACATGCTGCAAGAACATTATATATAAATGCAATGCATGCATCTTCACCAACTTCTTGGGATGGTAGGTTAGATGTCACCACCGGTTCGATGTATCTAAGGAGGAAGTTTCTTACACTTGACTCTGACCAATGAAAAGTGCAATTATTAGGCTATGGATAATTGGCTAATCAAGTGAACCTTTTACCTTATTGGTAGCTGTCACAAAAAAAAAAACCTAGTTTTGACATCAGTTTTCATCTTTTAATAGTACGTTGTCTTTTGGTTTTCTCTTTTGTGTAGATGTGGCACTAGTTACATCGTTAAGAGATGGAATGAATCTCGTGAGCTACGAGTTTGTGGCCTGTCAAGCTTCCAAGAAAGGCGTTCTTATCCTAAGTGAGGTAATCCAACGTTTAGTTTCTTTGAGATTTTATAAAACTAACTGGTTGTCTTATGCTGCAAACTGAAACGGTAGTTAGGGTGTTAGTACTGCAATAAATTTTGCATTTTCTGATCTCTTTTCCCTTTAGACTAGGGGCTTTTGAAGCCTTTTTTAGTATACTTTTTTTTCTGACTGGTAATCACCAATGGAGTAACTGCTTACATTTTCAATAGAAAAAAATTAATCGACTATGTTTTTAGAAGGAATTTATCAGGAAATAAATTAATTGTTCCCTGTTGATTGAAAGGAGAAACCATGCAAATAACTTTTTTCCGAAATACATCTATTAGTCACGTTACAATACAACCAAAGATCATGTGTTATACAAAATGTTGAAAAGCACGTGGCAGTCCCAATTAGTTTCAAATGTGGAAAACAATGATACGTCTGACGATTGTTTCAAGGGTTAAGGAAGTCTGTTTTGCCTTCAGGATATAAACTGGATCTGAGCAGCCTATGGTACCATTTTCGATGCTGGTGACCTTTATATCTTTTTTCTAGTTTGCAGGTGCAGCCCAATCATTAGGTGCTGGTGCTGTTTTAGTTAATCCATGGAATATCACTGAAGTTGCTGCTTCAATTGGTTATGCTTTGAATATGGAAGCAGATGAAAGAGAAAGACGACACCATCATAACTTCATGCACGTTACAACTCACACATCCCAAGAATGGGCTGCAACATTTGTGAGGTACTGATGTGCACTGGTGATATAGTTCTTAATTTGCATATAGCTTAATTCTGAATCTTGTTTCATGAATTTTCTTGGTTTTATTTTGAAAATCTTGAGTGCATTGCATGAATTCGGCTGAGGGTTTAGATCATGGAACTTCCCCATATAATTTTCACTCTAATGCCCGCAATGTCCACAGCCAGTGACAGCAAATACAGAGTTTGCAATCTAATAAATGAATTCTTCATACTAAAAACCATAAGCTTCTTGTCTGTTGGGCTTCTTTTTCATATCTGACATGTTTTAACTTCCATGTCCCAAGAAGATTAAACAAGTGTTGTTTGAGATCTTGCTATCCCCACATGAGATGTGATTCATACACGGTTCTAGCTTCTTGTGGAAGTATCTACTTGGTCTGTTTTGGTTGGGCAAGTTGCACTTATAATTGTACTTTTTTTCAAATGAGGAGTTCGTGTAATGCAATTTTTCTATTCACTTGTTCATACTTATAATTGTACTTTTTTCAAATGAGGAGTTCGTGTAATGCAATTTTTCTATTCACTTGTTCATTGTAAGAGATCATGTTAGATTACGTCAATAAAGTCCATATCTTTTAATATTTCCCATGTCCTGTCCATAACTATGGCAGCAAGAAGCACATCTATAAGTACCGATAAAGGAGTTCTAGATCTTCACAATTTCCCCTCCATTATTCAGGATCATTTTGTAATGGCAAAAACGTGAAACATAATATAAGAATGTAACGTTGGAAAGGCAATATAAATACATTTATTTTGGAGGAAACATTGTGTATGAAGATGAATCAATTGATGATTTGTCTAAAACAAATACTGGCATTCTTGTCTTCCCTATCTCAGCATTATGCCTGAAAATGTACTTTATTACATGTGCAATCTGTCCTAGAAAGAATTTTGATATGGTTATGATACTTTCTTGCAACGTTTGACTTTCAAGTTTTTTGTCTGAAGTTTTAGATAAAAATTTTGAAGTTCTCTTGGCTGTAGCGAACTCAATGATACAATAGTTGAAGCTCAGATCAGGACAAGACAGATACCACCTTTACTTCCAACTAGAGAGGCAGTGAATCGTTATGTTCAATCACATAACCGATTGGTTATTCTGGTATATTCCCTATACCACCAAACTATAATAGTAGCAAATGCACTATAACTGATTTTCTGCACAACTGCTTATTTGAACAGGTTTTTCCATAATTGTTGATCCATCCTTTATATCACAGGGTTTCAATGCTACCTTAACTGAAGCAGTGGATGCCCTTGGGAGAAGATATGGCCAAATAAGAGACATGGATCTTAAAGTACATCCAGACGTGAGAGAACCGTTGAAGAAACTTTGTGACGACCCGAATACGACGGTGGTTGTCCTCAGTGGAAGTGACAGAAGTGTCCTGGATGATGTACACTTATTCTTCTGCTTTAATGCCTTGTACCCTTCTGTTAGTTTTGGGTAACTATTTTTCATTACAGAACTTCGGTGACTACAACATGTGGCTGGCAGCGGAAAATGGGATGTTCTTACGTCCTACTAAGGGAGAGTGGATGACAACAATGCCTGAAAATTTACATATGGACTGGGTGGAGAGCGTTAAGGTTGGAAGAACAATTACAGATTATTTTAGTATTTACCTACTTTCATCACCTTCCTTTTTGGTCTCTTATTTCTCCTCATGAATGTTAGCATGTTTTCGAGTATTTCACTGAAAGAACTCCTCGATCTCATTTCGAGCTTCGCGAAACTTCTCTTCAGTGGAACTACAAGTTTGCAGGTACTAAGCATTTACAACTTATATCTAATGGATTTCTTGCAAGATTCTTTTTAGTAACTGACTAGTACTGAACTAGATGTTGAGTTTGGAAGACTTCAAGCAAGGGATTTGCTGCAGCATCTTTGGACTGGTCCAATCTCAAATGCCTCAGTTGATGTTGTCCAAGGCAGCCGATCAGTCGAGGTCCGAGCAGTTGGTGTGACAAAGGTGTGCAACATCGATTGGCCCCCCAACAACTCAAAATGCAGTCATAAACTGAATCATTCTTAATTTAAATAAAATGAAAACTAGACTCTCTACAGTACTTGAAGTTTTGCAGAGATCTAAAAAATATGCTCTTCAAGTATGAATTACATATAAAGAAAATGAATATTAGATGAGCTCGTGCAAAAAGATAGAAGAACAAAAAAAAATGGAATGATTATCAAATAGATCATTAGTTATTTAACATGTGTGTGGAAACAGGGTGCTGCCATTGATAGAATCTTGGGAGAAATAGTTCGTGATAAAGGCACAAACCAGCCTATTGACTACGTTCTTTGTGTTGGACACTTCCTAACCAAGGTATGTACACTCAAATACAGAACTCAAACATATTAGGATTGCTTCATCACTCAAAAATTTCTGCTGATAAGCATTATACAATCATAATCATCAACAATCCATCAGTCAAGTAAACGACTGCCTTATTTTTACACATTCATGAAAATTCGCATGTGTATGTTTCAGGATGAAGACGTCTATACATTTTTCGAGCCCGACCTACCTTCCGAAGTGCCGCCTACAGCAAGAGCAACAGTCACCACCAACCCTTTTGGAGTACCAGTGCCAAAGCTCCCAAACAGTGGAGTCCCGCCCAAGTCGACGACGACACGCCTCAAGAAACAGCGTTCCCTTTCTGTTTTAGAAAGAAGAGCAAACAGCCACGGCAGTGCAGTGTTTTGGAGGCCTATAATGCAGGACCGATTGTCGCTGCACGAGGGCTCGTCCGTTCTTGATCTCAAGGGTGACAATTACTTCTCCTGTGCTGTAGGGCGGAAGCGGTCGAATGCGAGATATCTTCTCGGATCATCGGATGATGTCGTCAAACTTGTGAAGGAGCTGGCCGAATGTTCAGCTTCAAGTTGAGTCGAATGAGTCGAATGGTGTTGTTAGGAATGGATCAGGGGGAATTCTCCATGGTCACTCACAGTGTATTTTTAGTGAATAGTAGCAATAAGTTGACATCTTCCTTTCCTTTTCCTTTCAATTAGATGTATTCAAATTTCATAACCTTCATTTTACAGTAGATAGAGTGAAAAAGAAAGCCATGAATCTCTCGCATCTCAATGATCCAAATCTTCGCAATCATATTCAATGGCCAAGACAAGTAAGAGAAACGTATTCCAATTCATCACCCACAACGAGAACAGGAATCAAATGGAAATCGTAGTAAGCGAAGAACACCGAGAGAGAAACTAGATATCATCAATGAATCCCTAATTTGATGTCTCCGAATATAACTACGATACGATGAAGAGAAGGATAGAGAGACGTAACCCTAATGGCAGGAATCCAAGCTTTTTCAAATATAACTACGAAAGAAGCCATGGATACTTCTCCGGTGTCCGGCGCCGGAGCAGAGATTCAAGCAAGCTGAGAGGGGTACGCTCGTAAAATCATAATAGTAGCAAATTAAGGGAAAAAAAATTTGGACCATTTCTCGATTTGTGCGTGTCATCCTTGCGCAGGGGCCATGCTAATCTTCTCTGTATCGTTCCAATTTTATCAGATGTCTCCGAAGAGACGATTGCTTCGTATTCGTGCAATAACATAAACAATACAATTTTCCTAAAACTGAGCGATGTGGGAATGCGAGAGATGCTAATGGAATTGGGCCGCGGTTAAGCCCATATGAACTTTTTTTTTTAGTTAAGCCCATATGAACTGTTGTTTGTTTACTAATATTTCTTTTACGTTTCAAAATATTTTGATTTCACAAAATGCATTACTAAATTGAGCATTTTTTTTTTATATACAAATACGAGATTTTAAAAAAACGTGTTTAATTTGAGTATTAACCATTATTTTAAAATTATAAAATTTAGGTAAAAACACAAAAAAATTCTCTTCACTCCCCCACAAAAATACCTTTATCCTTTCAAAAATTTCAATACTATTTTTGAACTTTCATATACGTTTTCAAAAGTACCTTTCCAACAAACATTGGTTAATATTTTAAACAAAAAGTTAATGTGATAATATACATGGTAGAAGCCTAACTATCCAATTTTGCCTAAAAGTCTTCTTCCTCCATTATCACCAATGTTCGTTTCAATATTGTCTATTCAATTTTTGTGTTAGCTTCTTCTATATTTTATTTCTTTTCAAGCTGCGTTAATTGACACATCACGTCAATTTTTTTTTTCGTTGAAGGAAAGTTTGCTCAAATGATATTTCTGAAACATTTATGAAAGTAGCATAGAAATTTTGGAAACACATGAGAAATGTTTTTAAAGAAATAGCAAAATTGAGGGGTATTTTAATTGATTATTTAGTTTTTATTCCTTGTAATTTAGCCTAAATTTTAACTATGATACCTGAAAGTTGGGAGTGTGTAAATGAGAAAAACAGAAGTGGGCGAGAGAGTTGGGAGCCGCGATTCTGACGCGTTCATCCACAATCTCTACATACGGCTTTCAGTTTTAAGTTCCCTTAAATTCCACTCCCACTCCCCCCACACTTTCTGTCCATCCTCCACCGCCTGCAGCCATGTCCGGCGATCTCTCCGACCAGAAGCCCACCAAACTCCCTCTCAAATTCCGCCTCCGACAAATGCTGCCGCCCTAACATGACCGTCAACCGCTCTCTCATGGCCCTCTTCGAGCCCAAAATTTCCCCCTCCTCTGCCCCACGCGACCGCGTCTTCACTCGCGACACCGTTCTCGATCCCTCCCGCAACCTCTGGTTCCGCCTCTTCGCCCCTTCCCCCACTCCCGACCTCCCCATGCCCCTCCTCTTCTACTTTCACGGCGGAGGCTTCGTCTTCTTCTCCCCCGATTCCTTGCCTTTCGATCTCCTCTGCCGCAGACTCGCTCGCGATCTCCAAGCCGTCGTTGTCTCCATTAACTACAGCCTCTCTCCCGAGCACCGCTATCCGTCTCAGTACGACGACGGATTCGATGCTTTGAAACTTATCGACGATTTGGATTCTGGTGCCTTTCCGGAGAAGCCTGATTTCGGTCGGTGTTTTGTCGCCGGAGATAGCGCGGGCGGGAACCTGGCTCACCACGTCCTGGTCAGAGCCGGCGATTACCAGTTCAGGAAGGTGAAGATCAAAGGTCTGATCGCTATTCAACCGTTCTTCGGTGGAGAGGAGCGGACCCGATTCGGACGGACGCCGACTTTGAATTTGGAGCGTGCGGATTGGTATTGGAAGGCGTTTCTCCCGGATGGATCGGACCGGAACCATCCGGCGGCGCACGTGTTCGGACCGAACGGCGTCGACATTTCGGCCGTAAAGTTTCCGCCGACGCTTCTGATCGTCGGAGGATCTGATCAGTTGCGCGATTGGGGAAGAAAGTACTACGAGTGGCTGAAGAACGCTGGAAAGAAGTGGAACTAATCGAATATTCGAACGCCATCCATGGATTTTACACGATTTCTGGGCTTCCTGAATCTTCAGTGCTGATTAAAGATGCTAGGGATTTCATACAGAAACAGTGGGCTCTGTAAATAATGAATTGAATTCGATCGTCAGCCGAATATCTTCTTCCTTCCTTCTTCTCTTCCCTGCAAATTGCAAAAGCAGTTTGCAGCATCCATTATCCAGATCCGCCTTCTGATTAAACAATGAAAAAGAAAAGGAAAAATTGTGTTTCTTTTGGTATTGTAATTTTAAGGTGAAAATGATTTGTAAGTGGAATTCGATCTTCGACTCTGAAGATTTTTGTTCTCTCTCTTTCCTGCAAAAGTAGTTTCCAATTTCCACTTCTGTTTATAGAATGAAAAAGAAAATGGCAAAAAGTGAAGAGCAATATTAAAAAAAATATATATATATTTTCGACAGGTAGCCAAAGGCATTTTCAGTTTTTCTTTTTACACAATTTTTTAAAATCAAAATTTCATTTATTTCTTTCAATTTTGTTATTTCTAAATATATTTTTTTAATACAACCACTAAACTATATTCACACTTATCACTCATATAACAAATATATTTGATATAAATATATATGTCACATTAATTATATGAATAATATACTTCATATTCATATTAAGCATATTGTTAATAAATCTTGTTCAAGCTGAATATTTTGGTTTAAGTAAAATATTGTTTTTTTTATAGCAAGTAAAATATTGTTGGTTTCCTGTTAATATATAAAGTATATGAGTGATATATTTGATATTTGATATATCAAATCTAAAGTATATATTTGCTATATCTAACCTGAAGTATATTTGTTACATTAAATATATGAATGATATATGTATATCACTATTAAATCTTATTCGGGTCGAAGATTTTGATTAAAGTAATATTGATGATTTCTTATTGATATATTAAATATATTTATTAATAATATACTCCATTTTAGATATGGCAATTATATAATTGATGTACATAATACTAAATATACATTTTAGAAAAGAATATATATCATCAATATATTTTATATAGCTAACATGAAGTATGTTGGTCAAGTTAAATATATGGATGATATAATTACCTATTGGTATATCACGTTAAATTTTCTTTAGGTTAAATATTTTTGTTTGGTACATTGCATGTTTTTATTGATAATATCAAGTATACCGATTATATAATTGATATAACGAATGTTAAGTATATCATTGATATAATTAAAGTCGCATAAGATTTTAGGTATATCACTAATATAATAAAATGATATTACCTAAAACGAAAACTATATTTTCCTGATCAACAATCTTCTTGGATCATCAGGTTCAATGTATTCAAAATAGCATCTTGATACTTTTGAAATTTAAGTTAATTAAATTTTTGGGAGAATTAATATCAAAGTCAGAGAATAAAAGTTGGCAATAAAGACATAGCTATGCTTTGGAATGGGCAATCTTATTATTTATTTTATAAGAAGTCAAATTACTTCGAGAGAAATTATAATTCAAATACTTCAAGCTAAAAAAATGAAATGAAGTAATGTTCGAAATCAAACATTCAATTCCAATACGAAGATAGTTCAATAGATAATACATCTATTACTTTTTTTAAGGTCGAAGATACGATCCTCCTACTCTACCTTTGTTGAATTTGAGAAAAAATAAATAAATAAAATCAATAAAAAAACAAACCAGTAATATATGCTAAAATTTACATAATTTAATATTATACACGTTACAAGATATAAAATGAAATATGAAAATAGACTACTTATCGTAGATAAAAATAAGTGAAATAAGAGACTATTATTATCATCTTTATTTTAGAATATGACCACTTGAATAAAATAGAAATGTCTTAATTGATGAACATTATTAAGTAAAAACAAAAAGAGAAAATTAAAGCATATCTTATAATATACAGATAACTATGTGAAGAATCAAATTTATAGATCAAAACAAAATCTTATAGAAGTAAATTATCTCAATATACTTCGATAAAACCAAAATTATAATTTTGGCAGTTTTCTAGAATCACTATCTTTTTAAAATGCTGTCTAATAATTAATTGTAGAAAAAATATATATTCTTTTAATTTCTAAATGTCAAACTAATTCATATTTTATGCCTAACAGTGAAAAAATATATATATATATAAAATTTCAACCAATATATAATTTGAAGCCTTCTTCTACACACTCATACAAGAAAAGAACACATTTATTATTTCATTAATCCAACTTGGGATAAGTGTGGACTTGGACTTCATGCTTCTTAACCTAATCTAATTTTTGACATTTCATTTCTTTTATCTTTCAACTTCTTAATTAAGAAGTATTTTAACTTTTCATTCACTTTTAAGAATAATATTTTGAGGGAATGCACACTGATATTTTTTTTTTTTAATTTTGCAGAGAATATATATCCAAATACTAATATATATAAATATATACAATTTATAAAGAATATTAATTACTAAGAATGTGTCAAAGTGAGCATAGCCTAACAACGTAAAAATATTTCCTTTATTTTAATTTTTTAACCGGTTTCATTAAAATGGATTTATTCTTGTCAGAAAAATCAGTTTGTGAAAACTTCATATCATGATATGTATATTTGAACAAATTAAACTAAAGTCAAAGAACAATAATC